GGGGTGGGGGAGGAAGAAAAACCCGGATAAAACCCTTGGAGCAAGTCGTGAGCCAACAATAAACTCAGCCCACATATAACACTGGGCCGGAATCGAACCCAGGCCGCATTGGTGGGAGACAAGGGCTCTCACCACTGCGCCGTCCCTGCTCCCCTTAGAGGTAGCAATGTGGAGAGATGTATTTTGAAAACCCAAGAGCCTGAAAAAACTTAAGATATCACAGGCAACAAAATCTTTTACGGGGGAGCGGGGGGGGGGNGGGGAAGGGGGCAGCATGCAAATTAGTGATGTCACAAGTGACTATTACATCCACCGAGACCCACGTCCCTGAAACACATATTAAAATCTTTTCTTTCCAAATACACTGTAGTTTATAAGCGTGAGTTGCTTGATTTAGCACTCTTGCATGTTTGGAGCAAATGTCACCTAGTCGTGTCCCACAGGCTGATTAGATTATAGCTGCAATTTCATTGATTTGATGAGTTCAACAAACAAGCTAAAATGATGTCAAATGGCACTTAACATACTATTAGCTACAAAAATAAAAGATGGATGAAGATGGACACTGAGTATCCGAAACATGTCTTACAAATTTAAACAGTGTGTCGTCTTTTTTAAATGTTTGATTTCAATCTTACTGCTACAAAAATTTGGCAAAAATAAACATCTTTTCAAATTATTATGTATGAAGTCCTGACAAGCCCAGAGGTTTGAAAACTTAAGTTTCGTACCACATTTATTAATTTACAACTGGTCAGGCCCTGGATAAAATAATTTTACAGACCAGATTACAATTAACAGTTAATAACAAGTCAACTAATAAATACAGTTTGCTTTGCATTACAACACAAAACAATTTAAAAGTATGACAATTTTCTAGCTCTATTTAATATGACTGCCATGTAATTAAAGTACATGCAAAGCAAATTATATATGGCTTGGCATTAAATACATGAGAAATTATTTTAAGACATAAATACTGTCTAATAAAATTAATTAGAAATCCATATAAAAATTTAAGATATAGAAGACCCCAGCTACTGCTTAATAATATTATAAGACTCTACGTCTTCTCCCTAGCCTAAGATAGTTTTTTTTTTGTATGCTGCAAGGCACATCCTGTTACCTCTTACTCCCTTATCAGGTAGGGGTGGTTAAATAAAGAGCAAACATGAAAAACATTTTATACTTCATTGACACAATATAGTCAATAACAATCTTGTAATTGTCATTTGCCCTTGGAATAAAACATATTAAACAACTGAACTACTGTGTACCAGAGCTTGTTCTCACACATAGCAAAATACTTCAAGATAAGCTGAGGCTGAAAACCTCTCTTGATCTGCCCCCACATCTCATGTCCAAGCTGCAAAGTTTTAAATCAATCCCCTGTCGTCAGACAACACAGGGACCACAGAGGTACTAGTAAGAAGTATTATTAACAAAATCTCTGTCTCTAACTTGAAATTCAGAATCCACTGTCTTATTCTAAAGCTATTTAATAACTATTTGCCTAGATTTGTACTAGACTGCGTAAATCTGTGTTAAACACAAAATACATGAACCATTGAGAAAATATTCCTTGTTTAAAGTGTCACTCAGGAGTATCTCATTCCACAGTGGGTGCATCGCTTTTCAGTGAGCAAAAGACAACAGAGGACGCCAAGGGGGAAGAAGAAGATGGCTAAGCAAATTCCCAGACCAGTGTACTCATCCTGAAGTGTTCCTGTCTGGCAAGCGGGGCAGTTCCCTCGAACATAAACATATGTGGTTGAAGCTGGTGGTGCCGGAATGGTTTGGTATCTTGGTGGGGCTCCACTCTGGTAACCTTTTGACAATGACAAAACAAACAAACTTTAATCACCAATGATGCCTCTTTATACATGAGCATACATGTAACAATGTTATGTTTAGATGTTTAGGAGCTTACAGGTTAATAACAGAGCCAGTAATACACTTGTCAACTATAAGTAGTATCCTGATACATTTTAGACTGAGGCCCATATATTAGGGGGGGGCGGGGGGTCTGTGTATCCCACATCCCATTAATCTTTGGCCTAAATGTCCTTTCTTCCGTAAATTTAAATAATTTCAAAAACTAACAATTTTGATTGCTCAATATCCCAGAAAATCTGTTCTAAATATCCCTAATATGCCATTAATTTTCCCTAAAATATTCCGTATCGGCCATTAATTGATTACCTTAATTTGCGTATCCCAAAAACCCCTAACAGGGCCTCTAGACAGGGTACATAAGTTACAACTGAATAAAATAAGACTGAATGAAATCCTATTTTAATAATTAATACATTGAAGGCTTCAGTAAGTTATCCTGGCTGAGTAACTCGTACTTTTCATTTGAACGGATTAGTATCAATGCTCTGAGCAGGTTCCTTGAATGGATTTCTACAACACTTGTCTGGCTTCCTAACATATCTTCATGATGGGTTCCTTTCAGAGATCCTGACTGACAAAAGAATGTTGTTCAAACACCATTACTAGGGAGTTTAATGGACAGAACAATGGCATGCCTTATAATTCTTGGTACATTTCTTTGCCATTCTCTGCAAAACAGCAGCGTGAAACGACCAAATTCTGCGTTGTCTGGAAAAGGTGAAGATGATGACTAATTTTTAAATTTCTATTTTGAGTGTCTAGATAGTTTTGACAGTGATAAACAAACTAAAAGACTTTAGAGTATAGATCGTTTTCATGTGACGTCATCACTTTCTAAAATCCAAAACGAAAGAGCCACCAAAGTTTTTGTCCTCATCAGGCACGAAAGGCGGTATATTTATATCTGTTTACAATTTTACAGCTCAATAGCGTGCTTCGTTTGGAATCCAGAGCATTTTGAATTATGGAGGTGCATGACACAAGGCTATGATCGAGTTTGTCGAAAAATATATACTTATCCCATGATTTTGAGCCTTTTTAGAAGTTAAAGCATTCGGAAAAGTGCTTATGTAACTGCTTGTTTGATCAGTACTGATAATCAGTTGCCTAGATAGCCAAAGTAAGTTCCAGATGTTTGAACTATTTTCCGGCCGCCATATTGGTGTACCACGGAGGTACACCAACATGGCGTTTTCATCCTGGGCTCTGTAAATATTGGCGAAACATTGCAACGAATATCTGAAGTTTGGGGAAACACACAGACCTAAAACTTGGAGAAGTGGCTCATTTAGTTATCTTCTGTAACATCATAATTTCATAGCTTTTTCCACTGGATGGTTTTCGATTTATTTTTTATTGCATGACAGTGAAAGCGATCTATTGCAAGATTCGTGGGTAAAATATAAGTTCACTTTTCAATTGACATTGTCCTCAGCGTCGCAGTCATGGTTTCTTAAACTCCCTATTGATTGCAAGTGACACCAAGGAAGATTATCTCTTTCCAGCCGCAGATATTTAATTGGCAGCATTACTGCTGATGAACAGAATTAAAAACCAGCTTACTTGGCATGTATCCTGTGCCGGGAGCATTCGTGATTGGAGGTGGGCCCTGCTGGTAACCCTGAGGCACCTGTTGGTATCCCTGTTGGGATCCCTGTTGGTAGCCCTGTTGTCCTGGGGTGTATGGCGGGGGAGCTGACATGTTGTGATTTTACCTTCAAAAAACTGCCCCAAATAACAATACTGTAAAGTTAAAACAGTAGGTAATAAATTATTTCAGGTGATTTATTTATTTATTTATTTATTTATTTTCATTTATTTATMTTTTCACTTTTKTACAATAAAAAAATTTTGCATATTGTTAARAGCACCTAACATTAAGTACTAACAATTTATGGTGATTTACTAACATGGTGAGCTCTATGACAATTTGTAATCAGCTGGAGATTGGTTACATTAGAATTAAACAGTATGGGTGGGTTTAAATTTTATGCCAAGTTTTCAGTGGTTATTTTGCTCTCAACTTGGATTATATAATTATAAAACAAGAAGTTAGGAGTAACCAACACTAAGACCAGGCATTAATAATACGTTCATCGCGAACATATAGCAACTGGTTAATTTATTTAATTTAGTTCGCAACTGAAAACAGAAACATGATATAACAGAGAGAAAAAATGTAGAATAAACCTTCACTTGGGGCTCTGTTGGCCCAGGTAATAATGCCTAATTTTTATTACATGGCTTGAGTGCCACTATAAGCAGGCAAGATAAACCAATGAAAATCCAGCACTGGGATTGACTACGCAGAGGGCAGCCTGGGCGAGGTAAGGGGCACTCCAGCATTTCATTCAAGTACGCTACATGCAATGAATCACAGGATAGACTATGGTTTTTTACGTTATCACTCTGAAATAGGGTACCATGATTACGACACACAAAATACACATTACTACTCCTAGTGTTTATTTCTCTGAAGTTAAAATATGTTTTCTGACTATTCTGTATTTTTTTCAACTGTTAATTTTCTTATCTTTTTATTTGTAGTTTTGTATCTTCATTGCAATCTTGTATATTAATTTTATTTGTTATTTATAAATCATTGTACCCTAATTCTTTTTTTGTTTGTGTGGCAAATAAAAAAAAATATTAAAAAAAATAAATTAAAATATTTTCAGATTTAGCATGCTGCTTTTCCATGACTTTGAATGACCCAAATGTAACTAAATTTCTCAACTTTCCAGCTTTTCCATGATCTTTGTGAACCCTGTAACTGTTTCTTGCAAATATGTGAGAGTGAGGGAGTTGACGAAAAAGCAAAGTGCTTCAGCTCATAGTTCACTTATGGTATTCGGTGTGCACTGAAAGTCCTGTCTGATAGCCCAGGGCTAAAGGATTTTCCAGTAAGGCAAATAAGTTCTGTCTGTCGACTTGCCCAATGAGCAAGGGAAGCTTCTTGGGAAATTTTTTTGAGGAAACCTGATGTAGGAGCCTGGGGGGGGGAGGAACTCTCATATAAAAAGGAGGGGGATGCTCGTCGGTAATTTTTAAAAGAACCCCTAAGAGGTACCAAGATCCCGTTTTGTGAGTGTGGCTTGAAATTTTTTTCACCCCTAAGAGGTACCAATTCTGAGACCAAAAAATAGATCAGTTGAATTTCAAATATCTCATGTCATTTTTTTTTTTNAAATTTTTTCAACCCTAAGAAATACCAATTCTGAGACAAAATTAAAAGTCAATTGATCTGAAATTGTCATATTAGTTTCTGTACAATACCCTTAAAAGGTACTGCAAAAGCTCCCGCTGTGGACCTTTTGAGGCTGGCACCCTAAGAGCTACCAAAACTGCTTTTTTAACCCCTATAAGGTACACCAAGCACCCTCATCCATTTTGTATGAGTCCCCCCCTCCCCCCAGGTTGCAAGAGTTGCAATTTTTCTTATGAATCAAAAATAACTTAGCCTTCTTTATATAACTGTATGTATGGAATTACTGTTTACACATAAAACAGGAAAGCTACTGAGAAAGTCTAGTAATATGGGGGTTTATTACCTCATAACTTCTACAATAATGCGAGTTTCAAAAAACCCATATGCAGCATTAAGCACCTAGACGTTCTTAATCTATTGACACTGACATAAATTTTCGGATTTAGATGGCTTTTAAGTTTTAGGTTTTCTTCTATTCTGGTCACATGACTGGTCAAATATGGCCGTGATTTGAAACTTTGGCAGTAGTCTTCAATGGAACTAACCTGTGCGAAAAGCTTATCCTTAGGAGGTGTGGTTTTCAAAATATGACTGTTAGAAACCTTACTTAGTAACACACTCATGACCAATTGGTAGTTAAGAAGGACCCCTCCAACAAGTGTGCTCATGTGATCTTACATATACTTACAAAGATAACTCATTTCGGATCGTTTAATACAATTTCTAATAAGCATTGCCACGGCGAACTTCACTATGAATAGTTCCTTGTCATGTTTTTCACTATTTCTGGCATATACTTACAAAGTGATCTGGAGCAGCAGCCCTCCTCTACTTCCTGGGTTTATTTACACGATAACTCAGTTCGTTGATTATGATGATTCAGTGCTAGTCATTTTCTGAAATATTCATCACGAAAATATTACTACTATCTGTCTAAAAATGAAAGGTTTCACTTCCTAAGAAAAGATTCTGATCAAAAGCCACAGTTAAATTTCAATATAAGCTTAAAATGGACTTACCTGGAACTCGGGAACCTGTGTAATGACATCACCGTTAATATTGTCATGTGACAGACGTTATGGCCGGTCATCAGACATCCCCTATGTACCCTACAAAGGAGTTATTGCTTTTGATTTAAAGCTTTAAAACAGAGAAATTTGTCGCAAATTGTTACAAAATAAGTAAAATACTCGTTCAAATTAAATTTTCGATGAGAATTTTGAGCGTTTAATTGTTCAGTACCATACTGAAGAGTGGTAAGAACCCTGGGGTATGAAGAGCATTTGCAACCTTACAAGGGCTGGGTGAGCATTATCGGTTCATTCTTCAGCAAGATGGCGGTCGATGTTGGCATGTGGAACGTCCTTGTCATGGGTTTTGCCTTCATGTTCATGTTCACAGCGTTTCAAACGACAACCATGATCGAGGTAAATATATTAATTGTCTTTTCTAGAACTTAGTTTTAATATTAGATGGGCTAAACTCTCCTTATTTAAGGTTTTCGTCAAATCCATGGCTTTCTTCTGTTTCCTCTTGTGCTGTGACTCTTGTGTGACATGGTGCGAATCTGGCCAACAAAGTAAACTTACACAAGCTTAAGTCACATATAGATAAAGTAAAAACTGTAAAATGGGAATAAAAGCGGCGCTGATGTGCCTTCGATTTAAGGTCCCCTCAATCAACCTTATAGTGTTAGAGCTTTTGAGCTTAAGCTTACATAATTATCAATTATCTGAAAGTAGAGTTCAGCATTGTTCAGGTACTTAAAAGTTCAGTGGCTGCATGCCAATGAAACCTCTTTGTAATTTTGCCCAGGGGACCCACTGGACTGAACCAAACTTTTCAGTCAAGTCAAGAATTATTGTTTTGTTTCAAGTTATGATTTTGTCACTGGAGTGTGAAGAGTTCAAGTCTTCTATGCACTGGCTTCAATTAAAATTACTCTGGATGTTTGGTTGTCATGGATGCCGTTGAAACCAACAAAATTTGAAAGTATTCAGCAGCCAATCAAAATTGCATGAAAAAAAAAAAATCTTAATCCTAAAACAGGATTAATATTGGTGAGATCACAAACAAACTCAGACTTTCTTTAACAATAATTATTATGCTGTGATAATTTGGTTAAAAACTCTTAGGTGACCGCAGCTGAAGTCATGGCACTGTTAATATTTAATTTTGATTATCACAATATAAAATTAATTCTAGTTCTTTGCACTAGCTCATGCTAGTTCTGGGTTTCTATTGCATATTACATAGAAACTTGCTCATTCACACAGGGACTGTTTTCTTATTATTTTCATGAATTACCTCTTCTCTGCTTTCAGCCCACAGTGTTACAGAGTTTCAGAAATAGTACCAACAAAGATGGTAAGTCGGAATTCTTACAATGCACATGTGTGTTTCTATGAGTGCAATAATTAAAGTAAATAACCTGTTTTAAATGAGGTATGGAATAGAGGTACATGTATATCCCATACTACACACTCTCCTAAAGGCTTGTGTGTCAGGGGTTTTATTAAGAGCCAGGCACTGGGCAAATTGACTGGCTTTGAGGATGATTTTGCCCACCTAGTTTGACCATCAAGAGGAACGTTTTTCACATAAAGAAGTTCAGTCCAAAGATTTTTGTCCATCTGTGAAAACCAGTTACCCTCCTGCTGAAAAAGTTAATGAAACCCCTGCAAGGCCATGGTTGAAGAAAAATTACGAGGAGCCCAAAGGTTCCTAACCATGAAATCCTGGGCGTCCAGTACTTAGCTTGTATGAAAATAGAAAATTTGTCCAGTTGCCAAAAGGCAAAAGTTAGTCACCTTTGGCACCTGGGCTCCTCTAGAGCACAGCCCTGCCTTGTGTGTACTCTGAAAAACAAATCTCTCACTCTGATATTTTATTGCATACAATTTTCACCAAAAATGTTGCATTTAATACAAGCTGTGATTGGTTATTAAAAATGAACTTTAGATTGCAATCCATCCTTTGTAGAAAAAATTATGGTGACTGGTATTTATCTACAATTCTTAGCACACAAAAACCTATTATTAGTAATGCAAGCCCATAGAGATGCACAGAAAACCTGGCATACACGATGCCATTAGCACAGGGACAAATATTGCAAAAATATGTTTCCTTATGTTTATGTTTACTTTCTTTTTCAGAAAAGATAGATGGATATGTTAGGTAAGGGCAGAAGCATATGCTTCTGGTGAGGGACAATCCTGTCTTTTCAAATAGGCTTGAAAAAGGCAATTGAAACAAAATTACCAGTAGTGTAAAAATATCATAATTATAGAATTAAAAATTTGTCTGTGCAACTTTCCATAAAATGATCAAGTGTGCTTTACATCTTAAAAAATTTAACTATATAGCTGTCATTAACAGCTGCTTAAACCCGTTAAAATTTGCCTCATTCCAAATGGTGATGGCAGTCCATTCTATTACTATACCCTGGTCAAATATCAACATCACTGCTATGCCAAATGTCTGATCTCCTAGAGACTTCTTTGTGTTACTTTCAGATACCAGTAGCAATATGTCATCAGTTGATCACAGGCTGTAGCCAGGTTTTTTCTCAACATACACTTGACCACAAAGATATTTAAAAAAAAAAAAAACAACTAATATAGCCTATGTATTTATTAATGTAAAAACAACAGCAAGAACAATTTATTAATACAAACAGAAAGCGAAACATAACAAAATAAAGGAATATGAACAATGAAGTAAACGAGAAATAAAATTCACTCAACCCGCAGTTAGCATTAGATGCATGTATGGATACACATGTATCTATAGTAAGTAATTGTTATGAAGTTGTTCTGGAGGCAAACTGAACAGTCAAGGTTTTTTTAATTACAAGTAATACTTTATTGAGTCAGAACACATTTTGTTATCAACATCACGTTGTTTAAAATGTGCATTTAATGTGTGCTCTTTTAATCTTTATAGCCTCGGTATCATCTATGCTGTATTCACTGTGGCTAACTGGCTGGCACCATCCTTTGTTGGATTATTTGGACCAAGGGTGTCCATGATAGTGGGTGGGATCTGCTATGCGTAAGGGACTCCTTCTTTATTGTTATTAATACATAAGATAGTAAAGAACTATTTTCACTTGAAACTAGCATGT